CCCTACACAATTTGTTACTACTCTCACAATGTCTCTGCAGAGAAACTAATTTCTCACAACATCTCTGCAGAGAAGGGAATCGTTCATATGTCAAACCTCAATTCTGGGCACTTCAGCTAATCATTTATTATCCAATGTGAAAAGTCTAATCAGTCCTGAACAGGCCCAAAGGAGGGCTAACCCCATAACTGAAAGGAAAGAAAAAGACTCAAATTATTTTTTCTATTCATGGATCAAATCCATCCCAAGTATTCTAAGAAGTCATCAGTAAGCATGGGGGATACAGATGGGGTTACCTCACTTGAAGCAGTGAGTGTAGATGTCATATGCTGGTAAGGTAACCAAAAGCTATAGTAGACTTGCACAAGTCCTGATTTATTTGGAATTCTGTAGTTTTAAAATATTTTTATTTCTCCAGCTGAAAAACTGGATCAATATACAAAATGAGGAATTATGTCTGACCCCACAGGACTGAGTGTGCACACAAATTGAAAAGAGGTTAACTTTTCTAGTAGGGATTTTCTGGAAAATATGAAAAAGTGGATAGAAAGAAGTTTCACAGCCTTACCTGAGGCTTGTTGCTTTTGCATGCGTCATCCAAATGCTTGTGCCATAATATTGCATGAAACCTTGAACCAGTCTGGAACTTGTAAACGTTTCCTACAAAAACAACAAAATCAAAGGCTCTAAATTTCCAGACAGACATGTAGTTTCACAGGATTCTGCTTGGTCTGCAGAAGCCATAGTCCTGAAGTAAACTGTCATTTGCACCTCAAATGCTCAAACAGGATGGTCTCTGTTACATAAGCAACATATCAGGTACTTTACCCAAAAATTTTTGGGTGAAGGGAATATAAGAACATATACTCCTCTTAGCTTTCCAGGCCACATATAGGCAGAGAGGCCAAATTACAGCCACAGAAAAGACCGCTTAGGTCACATCTAATTTACTCCTGGCTTTCTTCTCATTAAGATTGTTGTGGCTACTGCCCAACTTCCTATGAAACCTTCTGATATTTTTGAACATAGTTTTCTTCAATGTCCTGTTCTGAGTTTCCTCTGTGCCTTGTTATTTTGTAAATTGTTCCTTGCAATCAAATTCTTTGTGCATTTCAGTCAACGTTTCAGCCAAGAAATGCACTTTGCAGAGCTGATGCAAATCTATGGCCAGCACCAAAACCAAAAACATGAAGTGAAGGAAGCATCAAAAATTTTGTGTAATCACTCACAGTGCAAAATAACTCCAGGGACTTTCTCATCTTTTGAAGTTTTTGAAGTTAAATCAAGGTGTTACGGCACTTCAAAATTAATTATTAAAAAGTAATCCATAACTACTTTAAGAGCTTGTTTCAGTAAATTTTTTGATGTTTGAAGAACTTTCATAATGTTTTAAGCGGACTTTGTGCAAGTCAAGATTTGATATTGAGCAACTTTGAGAAAGCTATTCAGAAGCATGGATAAAGGGTATGCAGGCACATGAACACACAGCAATCTCCTACTGGTTGGGCAATTTCTGCACAAATTTAGAGTATCTGTCAAGATACAGCATTACCTCTGTAGTAACATTGTACACACAGCTTATTGTAGAAATATGTTCCATTTCACTTGTAGTCTCCCTTGAAAATTCTATATTGAAAATCTCCCTCTTCAGTCTTTTAAATGAATGCCACTGCAAGTTCTGTAATCTACAAACACACGAATAGAGATCAATCTACTTCCTGTCACAGAGATACAATACAGAGAATGTCCATCCTGAAACATCTACCTTTGTCGGGGTTATTTAGCTGGAAAACATCAGGATGCTCAGGGTCATCAGGCAGTGCCACCATCCAGCCCACAATGGAGACTTTTTTACCAGGTGTGGATTTATACTGGAAGAGACAGACAAGTCACTCACAGCTGAGACTGGAGTAGGGATTAACTTCTGACTGCAAAAGTTGTGCTGACATATGACTTAGCCTGCAAGAGCAGGTACACTTCTAACACCCTCCCAAGATGGGCTTATGAATATCCAACTTTTGGTTTTAGAACAAATTTAAAGCTTACATGTTTTCTTTCAGTGCCTCTTAAAGATTTTGCTCCAAAGTACAGAAGACTTGATCCTGCAAGCATAACCCAGTATCTAGTCCATGAGGAGAGCTGAATCAGAAGGGAAAAAAATTAGGAAAAACTCTGCATATCTCTGACATATCAAAAATCTATTCACAGGCAAGTCAGAGTGCTACCAAAGTTAATTTCAGAAGCAAGGAATGGAGAGTTAGATAAAGAGTGTCTTCTGGCATAAATCAGTCCAGCTACCTAAATTTGGATGGATAGCTGTAAATACAATTCATCTTACTTGGGTATCAAAAATATCAGGACTGATTGCTTCACAGCAGAATAGAGTGCTGCCTTCTACTGGACAGATCTTAGACTTTGGTATTTGAACATTTATTGAGATGATGTCTCTGCAATTCTTCAAATCTTCTAGCGCTGAACAGTAGGGTTGTACATAAAAAGTACCAATGAACTCTACAGAAAACAAAAAATTACCAAATGTGTAGGACCAAAATTATGTGAAAAATGTGAATTTAGATTATGTATGAACTACTAGGACTTTGGTGCTATAGGTGGATGCCGTGCAGCCTTCTCATTTCACCATGATACTAAATTTCTGCCCTCACAGAAATGCATGCTGATTTACAGGGCTGCTTTACGCTTGCTTTGCTGTCACAAAATTACTTGCAAATGCAGGGAGAAGCAGAACTACTGCAGATCAAACAACATACAAAGGTTACAACTATTGCTATAATCCAGTTAAAACTCTGAACAGAAAATTATTTTACAATTGATAACAAGGAACATTGTTTTGTATCAAGCTGCAGCTTTAATGTAATCCTGGAAATTTAAACAGCCACTACTGATTTAGAATCACAGGAAGAATCAGAATCACTTACAGCAGGTTTCTTGCCTTCTTTGAGCAATGTTTTTCTTCTTAATGGCCCTTCCATGGTAATTACTCCTGTGGAACTACTTAGTGAGCAGCTGCAGGCCCCTGTTGGGCTGGAAAGACAAAACACTGCCATATGTATTTAAGCAGACAAATAAGGACAAGAAACAAGCAGTATAATTTATCTCTAAATGTATTTTTCCTGCATTGTGTTATGTATAGTGTATCACCTGACATGAGTCTAAATATGTATTTTCCAGACCTAGGCATCAAATAGAAACCAGGGTCTTTGAAAAACAGCAAATCAACAAAAAGTTGATTTAGGAAAATCAACAAAAAGCTGATATAGGAAATTACCTTGACTAATTGGAAAAAAGCTGACAAAACTATATAACAATGCCAAATAATTTATTGTACAGTGTTTAAAATAATCTTTCCCAGGACAAACACAGTTTCCCACATATGACAGTGAAAAAGTGATACAACTGATAGAACCCCAGAACAGGCTCAGTTAGAAATGTAAACAGCCGTTAAGAACATGACAGCCAAAGACTGATTGGTAGGTGAAGAGCTGTTAGAATTATCTTCATTACCATGTGATCCTAGCCCTGATATTCTTATAGGTTTACCAGAGCCAACTAAATCACATCTAATAATGAATACAAGGGAAAGGACATGTGTAGGATCTACCATTCAGTTGTGAAAGGAACACTATTGTCTGAACAAGCATGCTGGTGAAAGCCATGTACACAGCAACAACACCTATGCAAGAACAGCACTTCAGTCTGGCAGGCACATCTTTGATTAAACAGAATTGCCTTGTCTGTGTTAACGTGTGTTCTTGCTAATTCAAGTTTTCTGATAGAAATAGAAGGAGATTCCAGACAAGGATGAACAAACACAAGTACTAGAACTACTGGATGGTGGATAAATATTAAGAAATGTATTTTAGGGGATAATTCTTTCTGGATTTAATAGGCTTTTCACATTTTTATCTTCTTACATTTTATATTTCTAGCTTGCATACATTTTTAAAGCAAATCTACCATGGATGTGCTAAAAGAGTATTTTCCAGAAGCAGGTATAGTAGCTGAAATACCATTCCAAAATGTATTCCTTTACTTATTTATAACACATGCATTTTAATTCCTAACTACTTCTAATTTGTTCTGCAATCAGGTATTACTAGCTCAAGTAGAACAGTTGCACTTAAATTTACACACTATATCAGCATTTCTCCAATGGCTAAAGCAAACTACTTCATACAAAATAAAAACTGACTGGATTTAAACTCCAACTACATCTCACTATTTGCAGACTAATGTTTCAGGGCCCTGTTTTCTTTACTGTTCATACATACTTCTTCGCTTCCCACTACCACAGAATTTATGAAGTTTAGGTCAGGTATGGATGCAATGATTGATTTTTATTCCTCTACCTATATACAATTTTCCATGTCACCTCTCTTTGGCCTGTCGATGGATTACCTGTTTCTGAAAAGTCTCTGTATCTTAGTGACTGGCAACACTGGTAGTGCCTGCTATATATAGGATTGCAGGTATTCTCTCTGTTACTCAGGGTCCAAGGTAACACCTCTTTACAAAATCAACATATCATACTATAGCTCCCTAACACAAACAGAAGTTAAGGGTAGCTGTTCTGCAAATCAGGAAATAAATACCGAGAAAGGGTCAAGAAGGTATCCTTGTAACATCATTATTTGTCAAAGACAAAGATGGTCTTCATCATAAATCTGCTTCTGTAATGCCATAAAGCCCAAAGTAAACATTAGTCTTCTGCAATTTTGAAGGTAGATATAATTAGATAAATCAATAGTTAAACTGAATTTCTTTTTAATAGGCTGTAGCCCTGCTTTAGCATTAACACAAATTTTTACAGACAGGAGGGGGAGACTCCTGTGACTTGATATGGTCATACAAGGATACTTTTGGACACAAAACACATTCTGCTAGGAAAGCATGGAGACCCAAACAGAAACTTAGCACCATACACTGAAGAAGGTAGACCCTAAACTGTACCTGTACACACAGCTTCGACTCCTAGGAGAATTCCGGATTGGTACCCTCCAGTTAGGCCCCAGCGTGGCATATAAACGACCCCTGTTCGTGAATGTAAATAGCTGATGAGGGCAACTCTAGTCCGAGACTTGAACACTTAGGGTTTGGTAAACGTGACAGAAAGAGTTCCCAACCTTTTCAGGTCCATGGGAATAAAAACACAATAACTTTACAGTGCTTTATTTCAAAAGTTTGTAATTTTTTCCTAACTAATCAATAATTTGATCAATAAAAATTAACTATAGCTTTAGGGCTTACTTATATTATGGATCATTCATAAATTTCTTAGCTAAGTCTGTAGAGTGCTCAGTGAGTGTACATGGAGACTAACTCACCTTTCAAGCCCGGATGGCAGCTCCTCACTAAACTCTGAGCTTTCACTGCTGTCTAGAAAAAGAGAAGTACAGAGGAGGAGTAAGAAAACCAGTAAGGCAAATACAAAGCCATTGTATGCAGATTACCAAAATAATCTTTATACAGTACCATGAAAATTGCTTACTCAAATCATATTTCAAAGTTGAAGTTTTCAGAAGTTCAAAGATCATTTCAGTGTCAAACTCATCTTGGTCAAGTAACCCGCTATCCTTCACACTTTATTTACTACTCTAGAAATAGCCTGAATCACTTAAAAGGTGGCTTTCTCTTGCTTAGAACACAGTGTTGATCACTTTATCGTAACAATTATTTTATTAATTATAATGCCATAATGTAATTGTCATCCTGGTTCACAAGTTCATCTTGTATTTCTTTTGGAGTCTCAGAGAGCAAAGCTAAGCTATTCTCCCATCTTCTGAAACATACTGTTAAAACTAATGTTTTCTTTGTGAAAAGGTAGCTTTCAAAATATATATCCACTTCTCAATAGCACTTTTTTTTTTCCCTGGTGAAAGCTGACAAACTCCCTGTGGCACATACAGAGCACATGCAAAGACAAACTTCCTTCACACCACTTTTACCAACACCATCAGCAGGCAACTGCGGAAAGCTGAGACGAGCTGCTTGGCAGCCGAGTAGCAGTTCCTATCTACATTCCCCATGGCAGGGACCGGTCTTTGCACAGGAGCTAATGATCTTCCCAATTCCCTACTTCTAGCTATCTCTGCAGCTTTCCAGAGCACTGGGCCAGAAAGGCAGGCATGCCTGCTCCCCACCCAGGCTCTACCTATGGAGAGGCCGTTGGCGAAGTGCGAGCTGCGGGGGTGGCTGCGGGCCGGGCTGTGCGACTCCAGGACGCTGTCATCCAGGAGGTGGCGCGGCCTCTCCGTCGGGAACGTGGCGCTTTTGCTCTCCACCACACTGAACTGACACATCATGCTGGAAAATCAGAGAGAAGAATGCAAAACTCCCTTACATCATCTTGGCTCCTTATACTTCCACTCAAGACCTTGCCTTCTTAATAATTTAAGTAGCAGGCAACTAAACACTATTGCTCACAATTTCCTGCTGCTATACATGTATGTATAGTCAAACACTTTGACTAGCAAAACAAGTTTCAGATTTCAGTGGTCTTTATAAGTAACAATTATTAAATTTCTGCAAGTGGTAAGTTTAAAGTTTTTTGACTCCTCTCATACAAAACCTCAACACCCTGGTAGAGGCAAAGGTAGAAAAATGGAAAAAGCAGACCTCGGCTAAGCCATTGCTTAGTGGTTCTTCACTAACACATCAACATCCTATGACCTTGGACAAATC